TACATTTTCAATTACCACGGACTGGTAAGCTAAGGAAACAATAACTAATCTTTGGCGGCCATTTTTTCACTAATTTTACCTCTGAAAACAGGTGACCCCCACCTCTTGTGTGGAGAATCTGACACACCTCTTTGTTCGTCTTTTTTTTGTTGCTTTCCACCTATACAATTTTATAATTGTACAAATCTACAACACACTTATGGAACTTATTTTCTTTATAATAATAGATAATAATAGATAGCATTTGTATAGCGCAAATCGCCGCTCAACAGCAAGCTCTAATGCGCTTCATAATCTATACTGTTACCCCAGCAGCAGACCTGAGAGCATTCTGAAACAAGCTCAACTTCGTGGAAAGCATACAGTGCAAGTAGCCATTTATAGGCGCTAAAACACTAACTTACTGACCAGATCTTTCACTATCTCTGGCCGGATACCCATTCCCACCAGGGTGAATTGAGGAAAATTTGTGTTAATTAAGTGCCCTTCCCAATGCCCAACATCGGGCCCGCGGCTCGAACCCCAGCACCTGCAACCTCACGATTACAAGTCCGGTAGCTTAACAACTAAACCACCGACGCCACTATCAGCTATCATCCGTATCTCTGTTTCTCCTTTTCTTTGCATGCTACTCTCTATAATAATGTAGTAACACCTCTAGTCTTCAGCACTTATAATATTATTATGATCTCATTGTGTTGCAAGTGCTGTAAATTTTTTACTACTAAAACTAAGACTAAAAGTACTCATGGAACAAGCTTTTTCATAATGTGAAACACAACTACGCGTGAGGCAGATACGTGTATATACTCAGGCTCTCGGACTAGCAACCGTAAGATCGTGGGTTCGAATCCCGTCAAGGACCAGACGTTGCGTCCAGGGGAGAGGCAATTTACACGAATTTTCCTCACTTCACCCAGGTGGGAATGGATACCCAGCTATAGACAGCAAAAAGATCTTGTCAGTTTGTTAGTGTTTGAGCTCTTAATCGGCTGCTTGCACTGTAAACCTCCTGGAAAGCCGAGAATGTTTCTGAATGTTATAGGGTCTGCTAGGATCATATTGTAAAGCGCGCAGAGCTTGCTGTCGAACAGCTATGAAAATGACATTTATTATTGTTATCATTATACCTATCTATCCATCTATCCATCTATCTATCTATCTATCTATCTATCTATCTATCTATCTATCTATCTATCTATCTTTCTTCTATCTATCTATCTATCTATCTATCTATCTATCTATCTATCTATGTATCTATCTATCTATCTCTCTATCTATCTATCTATCTATCTATCTATCTATCTATCTATACATCTCTCTCTTTCTCTCTCTCTAAATATATATACATACATATGTATAATATATACATATATAATGCCTACCACACATAATAGATGCCACACTCTGGTGCGGTGAACAAGCTATATCCAGTCTACGAAAGTACTCAAGGCAGTCCATCCTGAGAATCTCCATAACACAGAACCTCACTCCAAATCCAAGCACAAACGAACTAGATCTAGCTGCCAAGAAAAGCTGCCAAACTCCCAGCTCCGAGAAATAAGCCGCGAAAAATCCAAAATTGACAAGCTGAAATTTTTTCTTGTTTCCACTTTTGTTTGTTTTAATTCATGACATCCTATTAAAAATGCTTAGTTCTCCTCCTCTGCTCAATTCTTTTTTCAATGCTCTAAAAAAAATCCAGTTCGCTCTCTCGCTCCCCCCCCACCACAATCCAAAGAGTAATTCAACTTCGGCCCCTTGAGCGATTGTACCCGACCTAACTGCCATGCATACATTAACTCCGCAATTTCAAGTAATAATGAGAGTTCCCGATTACCCCTGGCTCCATCAAGTCATGCTGGGTTTCCCCAATGTTACCGTATTCATAAAAATTAAATTTTTTAAAGATCTTTACCAGCAGATAGGCTATTTCTATTTTCATAGTTCTCTATTTTCTATTTTCATAGGGTTTTTTTCTACCTGCAATTTCTACTTGCATATAATATGACTTTTTTTCTAACTGCAATTTTTACTTGTATATTATGGGATATTTCTACCTACAATTTTTACCTGTATATTTTGGGATATTTCTACCTGCAATATTTACCTGCACATAGGATATTTCTACCTGCAATTTCTACTTTCATATATGGCTTTTTTTAAAACTGCAATATTTACCTGCACATTGTTTATTTTTACCTGCAATATTTACCTGCACATAGTTTATTTCTACATGCAATTTCTACCGGCACATACGTTATTTCTACCTGAAATATTAAATTACCTGCAAATAGCTTATTTCTAGCTACTATTTCTACCTGCAGTATTTACCTGCACATAGGCTATGTCTACTTGCACATTAACCTTTTTTTTTACCAGCAATATTTCTACCTGAATATAGGTTATTTTTACCTGCACATAGTTTATTTCTACCTACAATTTCTACCTTTCTGCTATCAGCACCTATGGTGGCTTAACAGTGAGCTGGCTACCGAAAGGTTGAGAATCATTGAGATAAAATTAGGCCCTTCATTTTTTTTTCAAATAGGAGACTCAATTTTTCTTCCCGATCTAAGAAGGTTCTTATATTTTTTTTCAAATGCAGTATCTCCGTTTGGCTGCTGGGATACTGTATCCCAAATAGACTGGTTTGGTATCGGAACAACCCACCTCAAATTTAATCTCAGTTGTGTCGATGGAGCCTCGTTGTTGTTGTTGTTGTTGTTGTTGTTGTTGTTGTTGTTGTTGTTGTTGTTGTTGTTGTTGTTGTTGTTGTTGTTGTTGTTGTTGTTGTAGTTGTTCTTCTTCTTCTTCTTTTTCTTCTTCTACTTCTTCTTTCTTCTTCTTCTTCTAAACAAATGAAAGTCAGAGGGAAAGAAAATCAGAGGAAGACCGAGGAAGAGAACAACGTTCACAGACGGCCTGAACAACTTTACAACGAACAATCCAATGTGAAAATCCTAGCTAATAAGGAAGACAGACAGTAGGAAGGAATGGATTACCACCATGACCGACGTAACGATTTTAATACACCTTTTTTTACACCCCCATCGCCACAATTTAGACGATCATTTATTAGGAATGCAGGCCTCTGACTTCGTCTGTCAGGGTTAACCTGGGTAGAAAAGGATACAACATCCCAGCAGAAAGACCTAGATTCTCGATATAAAATTACCCCCGCTTGTGAATCGAACTCGGGTCTCCTGCTTGAGGCAGCGAAGCGTCTAACCGCTACACCATTGACGCCGGTATCATGATAGTTAACGTCTGCTCCAGACCTGTCAGCTGAGGAAGAGGAAGAAGAAGAAGAAGAAGAAGAAGAAGAAGAAGAAGAAGAAGAAGAAGAAGAAGAAGAAGAAGAAGAAGAAGAAGAAGAAGGCT